GATAGCTCAGTTGGGAGAGCGTCAGACTGAAGATTTGAAGGTCGCGTGTTCGATCCACGCTCACCGCACTACTTTTTGGTTTGCGAAGTTTTTATTTTTATTTTTGACAAGTGTACTTTCATTTTATCAAACAATTAAAGACTCGGAAATAACCAAATCTCCCAAACTAGCTCCTAGCTCCTCTTTTTGCCAAACCATCGGCCACCTCATTTGCTTCTATGTAATCAGAAAGAAACATTCATTTTATTATTTTTGACAAGAGTACTTTTATTTTATTAAACAATTAAAGACTTAGAAATAGCTAAATCTCCCAAACTCGCTTCTCTTTTTGCCAAACCATCTGCCACCTCATTTGCTTCTATGCAAACAGAAAGAAACATTAAATTGAGAAGTATTATCTATAACCTCCATCCATGTCTCTCGTAGCATCCATGGTGATCTGAAAACCTTATTACTCCATTTTATGATATTTGATGAATCCCCCTCTATAATACAAGGCACTTCCCTGTACTTTTGTAAAATAATAGAAAAACCCCTTATGATACCTCCAAAGCTTGTCAATCTTGGGTTTCCTAAAAATCTCCCATCGAAATTTAACAATATTTTCCGTAACCAAGTTTGCTAGATTAAGAGAAATATCTACTTTAGAAATGTCAAACCCCTCTTTGGTGATGGATAACCTACTCTAAATATTATGAATAATTATTTTCTTAACCACATTTCGCCCATCCACACGTCCTTCAAAAATTCTCACATTTCTCTCTTCCCATAACTCCCACAATACACACGTCTTCACCATCTGCCAAATTTTCTTACCAAGAAGTGTTAAAGAACCATACTCCCATTGAGTCAACATATATGTATGTGAGATCGGAAAGGCCATTAAGAAGCCCAACAACTGAAACATCCAACTCCAAATACCATAAGCAAAGGGTAATGTAAGAAAAGATTATCCCCACATTCTTTTGCTGCCCTACACATGAAGAGCATGTTAACCATAATTATGCCCCTTTTCATCAAATTATCAATTGTTAGAGACTTTCTTTGGAATAAGATCCATAAAAAGACTCTAATCTTTAACGGGGTCGCTCACTTCCAAATTTTGTATAATGAAGGACAATTCCACCGTAGCCAATCATAAAAAAGCAAAAAATATGCAGATCTAACACTGAAAATGCCATCACTTTCTGCCTCCCAAACTAATTCATCATCTAACAATTGAGAAAAGCAGCAATCTTGAAGTTTCTTGAGCAAATCTGTAAAATCAGAAATAACAGAATCCGACGTCCTATTCCGTGTCAACTGAATTCTCCAATCACCAGGCCCATCAACTCGATTAAACATTTGCAAAACATTTGCTTCTTGAGTTGATGAAAGAGTAAATAACTGTGGAAACTGAAATTTCAGCGGGTTCTCTCCAAGCCATCTATTATGCCAAAAAGAAATTGAAGTTCCTTTCCCAAGCACCCATCTTGAGCCATTAGATACTAGCAGTCTATTTCTAACAATCCCTTTCCACAATGGTGACTGATTTGCATTCCTTCCCCTTGATATCTACTGAGTCGTATGATCTATTCCATATTTCAATGTCAAAACTTCTCTCCGTAACTTATCCCCACATCGCATTGACCGCTACCACCATTTTGTTAGAAGCACCCGATTAACCATTTTAATTTTTTATTTATTTTTCTTCATTTGGTTTGCGAGCTTTTTATTTTTTTATTTTCTTTTGGAGTCCAAGACATGGACAGTTTGATCTTAGCACTTGATTAGGGGTGAGATGAAGTAGGTTGGTTTAGGATATCTATACGAGATCAGTTAATTTTGGATTAAGATTTATGTTACAGTTATTTTAGGATTGAGATTTATGTTTGCAAGAAGTTTATATAGGTGTGAGGCTCTAAACAATCAAATTCAGTTTCCTGAATAATATTCACCCCTAGTTGGTGAACTTTTGTACAATTGTAACATGTGAGGCTCCAACAATCAAATTAGGGTGCACCTCAAAAATTTCCCGAATGCTATTCATCCCTAGTTGGTGAACTTGTGTACAATTGTAACATGAACAGTTTTATCATGTAAGGAAAGGCGTTGGGATCGTGGTGGTAGCATCCTCACACCCAGTTACCACATCGTAGTATCGTGGTGGTAGCATCCCCACACCCAGTTACCACATCATGGTATCGTGGTGGTGGCATCCCCACACCCAGTTACCACATCGCGGTATCACTAACACCCCATGGGGCGTGTTCATCACAAAGTTGGGATACAGTTGGGATAGCGTCGTAATCTCATAGCTCAGCCGTGTGCTCATCACAAAACGGGGATAGCTACATCGGGGATAGCTCAGTACATCACAGCGGCTATAGCTCAGTACATCATGCCTATGGGCGAAAACGAACAGTGTTTTCGCTGTTCGTTTTAGCCCAGAGTCTCGGTGCCGTCTGATTTTTTTGGCCGGCATGGATTTTTTACTCTAAAAAATACGGAAAACCGCCATGGGTCTCGTAGATTTGTAGCAGTGTTTAAAGCAAAACCTTCGTGGCGGGGCGAAATACTATTAAATTTCGCATGTATGCATCATCATCATTTTAACATTTTCTCAATTAATTAGGAATCTTGGTTCTCCATTCTACTCTATTAAAGGTCATATCCTCAGTGATGCCATAAGTCCCCATATCTTTTCGGACTACTTCCAACCACATCATTTTAGGCCTGCCCCTTGCCCTTTTCAGTCATTTCACTTGAATTAATTCGCATCTCCTAACATGTGTTGTATTTGGTCGGCACGACACATAGCCAACCCACCTAATTCTACTATCTCTCATTCTATCGCCTATTGGTGCCACGCTTAAATTCTCTCAAATAGATTCATTGCGAATTCTATCTCTTTTCGTCTTGTTACTCATCCATCTCATCATGCTCATCTCCGCCACACTCATTTTATGAGTATATTGTTTTTTGTCCGCCCAACATTCCGCTCCATAAAGCAAAGATGGTCTCACCAGTGTCCTATAGAACTTGTCGTTCAACCTCATTGGTATGCAACGATCACATAAAATTTCAGTTGCACATCTCCACTTCGCCCACCCATCTCTAAGTTTGTGTGCACGTCTTCCTCGATCTCTCCATTTTTCTGAATTATCGACTCGAGATATTGAAAGTGTGGTCTTTTTGGTACTTCCTTATCATCAATTTTAACTGCTTCCTCATCTCTACTCATATTATTACTAAATTTATACTACATACACTCTGTCTTATTCCGACTAATTTTAAAACCTTTAGATTCTAGAGCATCCCTCCAAAGTTCTAACTTTGTCTTGACGTCATGTCGAGTCTCATCAATCAAAACTATGTCATCTAAAAACAACATGAACAACTATGCCTATATATATATAGGGTGCGGTTTGTATAGAGCCTAGGCTCTAAACAATCAAGTTAAAGCCTACTTTCAAATAATGTCGAAAAATGTGGTTTCAATACTGTAAAATCTTTGTGATAGCCTTAAAATATATTTTTGTCGTTATTTATAAAGTCTAAAGCTTCAAAAAATAGTGTAGATCAACATATCTTAAAACTTGATAATATTGAAAATTGACGATCCAAAAATGCGTTACAAAAGACACTATTTTCAAAACTTGAAATCCATTTTTTTCTCATGTCCATGTATCTTGATGTCGAGATGAACAACTTGAGGATATTTGGGCATCAAATCAACCTCTTTTAGTAAAACTTTTTAGGTAGGCTCTAATTTGATTGTTTAGAACTTCAGCTTTATATAAATTTTCACCATATATATATATGATTGTATACAATCAGATCATTTACCTTTTGTATAGAGAGATCACAATTACTTTCAACCATCTGATGTGAAATCTGATAGCTTGGGTGTATCATAAAATTCGAAAAAATTTCTTTTGAACTTTGAGTTTGGTCAATGAAATAAATGCGACTATTAATTGTGACCACCTTGTACCAAAGGTAAATGGTCTCATTATATATTTTTCATATATATATATATAGTGAAAGAGAGAGAGAGAGAGAGTTTTAGATCGGCCTGCTACCTGACAGCTATAGTATACGCTCAATGGCCCAAATTAAATCCGAGTCGATATAATAGTCACGATTGTACTTTGTATTTGAATTTTAATTTATTTTTTTACATATTCAATTCATTTGAAATTTTGAACGTCAACCCTTGAAAATAGATGGACCTAATAAAATATTAAAAAAATATTCGTAAAAAATAAATTGATCAAAATACCCATAAATTTTAAAGTGCAATTTGTATAAAACCTACCTTCAAATAGTATCGAGAAATGTGGTTTCACTACCATAAATCTTTGTAATAGCCTTCAAATATATTTTTATATTTATTTCTAAAGTTTAAAGCTTAAAAAATAGTGTAGATCAACAAATCTATGAAAACTTGAAAACCTTGAAAATTGAGGGTCAAAAAATGCCTTACAAAATCACTATTTTCAAAACTCGAAATCCAATTTTTTCTCATGTCCATGCACCTTGATGTCGAGATGATCAATTTGAAGATATTTGGACATCAAAACAACATCTTCTAGTGAAATTTTTTAAGTAGGCTCAAATTTGATTGTTTAGAGACTTGACTATATAAACTTTTCTCTAAAATTTATTGAAAGTATTTTGATCAATTTATTTTATGAATAAATTTTGAATATTTTTATTAGATGCACCTTGATGAGAAGAGCAGAAGCTCCAGATTTCAAGTAACTTAAATTTGTGGAAAAAATATTAAAATTCTAATAGAAAATATGATTGTGACCATCAGATCAACCCAAGATTCAATCTAAGCCGCTAGTGCACTATTCCAACAGTTAGTAGGCTGACAGGATCTTTTATGTGTGTGACCATGGCTCTGTTGAGCTACGATTTTAGTCATAGAATTTGCCAAAACATCTTACAAAGCATGTCCCTTTCAAGCATTGATCATTTTCTATGCAATTTAAAAAATGGAAATAATAAACTGCAATGAAGAACCCCATATATAATAGAAGATCATAAGGAGTTTAACAAAAGATAATGAAGCGTAGACAAGCTCTAAAAACCCCAACAAGCCAGCAGCCAGCAACCAGCAACTAATAAGATGGCTTCACTAGAGTATTGATCCAAATGAGTCAAAGGGAGAATGGCTTTGAATATACATCGAATGGTTCACAAGATGTCAACTGCGGTTCCTGCAAAAATCAAAGACTTGGGCTAAGCCAGCTTACTAAGCATATACTACAATAAAGAAAACCATTGTAACTAGTATAGCCATTCAAAAGAAAAGAAAGACGTTGCAAAAATATCATCTGATTCCAATTGAAAAGATATCTTCCATGATATTAGGATATATTCTCCTTTCTTGCTTTTTTCCTGTGATTTTTTGAAAAATTAAGTTCATGGGACTTCAAACTCAAAACAAATATGATAGATAACACCTTGATCTTTTCTTTTCCTTACTTCTTTGGTTTATTTCTCACTATTGCAATTTCTTTTCTTAATAACCCAGGATTTTCTAAAGAGCCAGTTTCCTTAGAGCACTTGACAGATTATCTACCAGACGAATTCCTAATACAACAGATTTTTCTCTTTATCCTTTTTCACAATTGAGGATGAGATTGATTACACTATGAAGACAACAATCTATCAGATCCACAAGACCACAACATTTATTCTTTTTTCCCAGAGGATGAGATTCGTTACTAGGAAGACAACAATCTATTAGATCCACAATATTAAGGGTGTCAACAAGCCAAGCCGACTTGAGCTGGCTGGGCTCGTGATGAGCCAAGTTTGAACAGTACTCTTCAACTCCCAGCCATGCCGGGCCCATTAGCTCACTTATTAGACAAGACAAGCTCAAGCTGAGAAAAGCTTGACTCAAGATTGTTTACGACATTATTATATAATATAGTATTACAATATATATTGCCTTGTTTATAGACTTGTGCGTAGTTGTTCATGGCTTGACTCAACTTCTTTATGGGATTGCTTAGGTAAACAAGCCTCTATAACCAAGCCAAGCACAAGCTCGTCTACCCATGCAAGCCAAGCTTGGTTTGGCTTAGCTGATTAGCACACCCACATTTATGATCCATTAAGGCCATTGTATATACCTGTGACAACCCACCAACGCTGAGGCTACCACCAGTCAAAAGCATGGTGATGAGAGATGTCACAGGCCCACCACCGCCCATGCCTCCACTGCGAGTCTCACGTATGGTTGCGCGCATAGAAGTCAAGATACTCCCATATGTTGCTCCAGCACCACGCTCAATAGCTTGGATGAAACAGTAAGTCATGGCCCCAGTGGATGTGATCTTCGAGAGAGCCTTTTCACATACAAGACAAACTTTTTTTGAGAAAAACATTGCACAATAAAACTTATGCTGAATCATACTTAAGCAACACAACATGATCAATTGGTGGGAAAGCATACTATAATCCCAAAGACTATGGAAGAAATTGGGTTATCATGGTTCATTGAAATAATGGACACTGATCAAAAGAGTGGGATCCACAAAGGGAGAAAAAAAAAAAGCGATTGAGCCCCATGGTGTGGGTTTCACTCCTTCTGCATCACTAACCGTCATTACAATGGACATTAATGGCCCGATAAAATATGATCTTGCATGGTCCATTTTATGATTATCACAATATACTTTCCCTAAACCGATTATAATAATACAAAGGGTAATTAATACCATTGGTAAATGGATTTAAGGGTATAAGTTCAGTGGCCAGGATAATCAGGGTAGCAACAGAAGATGGCATGCCAAATAAGGCTACTTAGGCAAGTCCACATTTCTATACTATCTTGATTTTCATAATTATCAAATGTTATAGTTTTCCATATCTTGAGTCAATAATCCACAAAAATGGAGAGATTGAGGACGATATCGCGTATAGAATTAGATCTGGGTGGGCGAGGTGGGGATGTGCAACCGATGTTTTATGTAATCGCCGCATACCAATGAAGCTAAAAGGGAAGATCTATAAAACAATTGTGAGACCAACTTTGCTTTATAGGGCCAAAGTTGACCGGTCAAGAACAACATCATAGCATAAGTGTAGCTGCGATGAGGATGTTAAGATAGATGAGTGGGAAGACAAGAAGGGATAAAATTCGAAATGAATTATATTCAGGAGAACTTAGGTCTAGCTCTAATAGGTAATAAGATGAGATAATGTAGATTTAGGTGGCTGGCCATACACAGTGCGGACTCATTATAACACCTTTTAGGAGATGCGAGTTGGTTCAAGTGGAAGGCTAAAAAAAGACAAAGGATAAACACAAAAGAACATGGTTGGAAGTAGTGAAAAAAGATATGGCAACTTATGGCTTCACTAGGGTATAACCCTTAATAGAGCAGAATGACAGAACATGATTTGTGCAGCCGACTCCAAATACTTGAGAAAATGCATTAATGATGATGATGATCAATTGTTTTAGTTTTCAAATGTACAACACATTTAAAAAAGAAAATCCATTATTCCTATTGCCTTCTCTAACAACATTATTCCAAACACGCACATGACTTTAAAAAAGCCACATGTCAAATCCAATCCTAAATTAATTGATTGGAACTCGGGAAAGAGTGCACAGCGAGTAATGTGCATCGTTAGTATTCAGCTACATGTGATGCTGTTTGAAAAGTTGTATGACAATTCTCTCGAAGTTCTTCCAATGCTCGCTAATGCTACAAATGAAAGGAGCTTGTTCATTTCATTAGAAAAGGAAAAAGAGAGCAAGAAACTTATTACATAGAACAAAAGTAAATGACCAATATATCCACATTAGGATCAGTATTTAACATCGAAAAGAATAACAAACATGCATAATACTATTATCACCATGCTATACCATGCTATAATAATGTAATTATCACACAGTGATGCATTTTCATTATTTACTCAAGGTAGAACTTATTATATAAGATTGAAAACCTCTCTGGCACTTGGTGGTGTTGGGCTTTTAGGGGTCGTTTGGATCCCACGGTAAATAAAACATGGTTTTGTATAACCATGTCATCCCACAAAAAAATACATTTGGCAACTTTTTGGATACATAAACTTGTTTTTTGTAACCAAGAAAGAGGGCCAAAACATGGCTCTACAAAACCAAGAATATCAAATTTAGAGAGAAACTACAAAAAAATTTTAGAGAGACAAACTATATCAAATTTCAAGTTTTCGAGAGAGAAAATATCTTAAAATTTTAGAAAGAGAAATCATATCACATTTTAGAGAGCGAAATTACATAAAAAATTTAGAGAGAAAACCCTTCTCAAAAAATTTAGAGAAAAAAATTATATCAAATTATAAATTTTAGATGAATAAAGTATCTTAAAATTTTAGAGAGATAAAACATAATCAAATTCTAGATTGAGAAACTACCTGAATTTTTTAGAGAGAAACTATTTCAAGAATTTTAGAAAGCAAAACTATATCAAATTTGACCATATCAAATTTGAATTAGTGAGAGAAAGTACCTTAAAACTTTAGAGAGCAACTAATCAAATTTTTGAGAGAGAAATTACTTGAAATTTTTAGAGAGAGAAACTATCTCAAAATTATTAGAGACACAAAGTATAACAATTTTTACGTTTTGGATAGCGAAAGTATCTCAAAATTTAAGAGAGAGAAACTATATCAAATTTTAGAGAAAGAAACTACCCACATTTTTTAGAGAGAGAAACTATCTTAAAATTTTAGAGAGAAACTATCTTAAATTTCAAGTTCTATAGAGAGAAACATATTTTAGAGAGAGAAACAATCTTAAAATTTTAGCGAGAGAAACTAAATCATATTTTAGAGACAAAAATTACATGAAATTTTTTAGAGAGATAAAATATCTAAAAATTCTAATTTTAGAGAGAGAAATTATCTCAAATTTCAAGTTTTTGAGAGAGTATTGTAAAATTTTAGAGAGTGAAACTATATCAAATTTTAGAAAAAGAAACTACCGACAAATTTTTTGAGAGAGAAACATCTGAAAAATTTTAGTGAGAAACTATCTCAAACTTTCAAGTTTTAAAAAGAAAAGTATCTTAAAATTTTAGAGATATAAACTATATCAAATTTTAGAGTGAGACTATCTAAAAAATTTTAGTGAGAAAAACTATCTCAAAAATTTTAGAGAGAGAAACTATCTTAAATTTCAAGTTTTAGAGAGAGAAAGTAACTTAAATTTTTAGAGAGAGAAAATACCTAAATTTTTTGAGAGAGAAACTATCTCAAAATTTTTAAAGGAAATTTATCTCAAATTTAAGCTTTAGAAAGAGAGTATCTTAAAATTTTAGAGAGAAACTATATCAAATTTTAAAGAGAGAAACCACCTAATTTTTTTTGGAAAGTAACGATCTGAAAATTTTTAGAGAGAGAAACTATATCAAATTTTAAGTTTTAAAGAGAGAAACTACATCAATTTAGAAAGAGAAACAACTTGAAACTTTTTAGTGAGAGAACTATCTCAAAAATTTAGAAAGAGAAATTACATCAAATTTTTAAGTTTTAGAGAGGGAGAGTATTTAAAAGTTTAGTGAAAGAAACTATATTAAATTTTAGAAAGAGAAACTACCTCAAAAAATTTTGAGATAGAAACTATCTCAAAAATTGTAAAGCGAAATTTTCAACTATCTGAAATTTCAAATTTTTAGAAAGAGAAGCTATCTCAAAATATTTGGAGAGAAACTATATCAAATTTAAATTTTATGACAATTTTCTCTCTAAAAATGATGAGATCGTTTCTCTCTCTAAAAATTTTTAAGTAATTTCTCTCTCTAAAATTTTGATAAAAAATTTTATAATGGGAAATTTTTTTATATGTATTGTTGCGTACCAAATATGTGTAACGTAATTTTCACATGAAAATATTTTGCACGAAAATGTTTCATACATACCAAATGTGTCCTAAATAGTGCAAACCCAATGTAAGCAAATAGATGACCCAAACGCGGGATTTTACATAACCTCGGTATTATCTACAAGCACTCCAAACAGTCATTTCTCAATAACAAGGCTTTGGCATAACCAGAGTTGCATAACCATGTTATGATCCAAAACATGGTTTTGTTTATCCTAGGATCCAAACGAGCCCTTAGTGACTGGTCACCTAAAAAGTGTTCTGCCTATATATATTCAAGGCAGGAATATTAATCTTTGACAGGGATTTTAATCTTTAGCATACGAGTATGCCAATCAATTAAGAATAAGATATTTGGATTGAGATCACAATTCATGCACAAAGATGTGTTAGTTATTAAGTAAAATAAAATATTTCAGACCATATGAGACAAACGAACAACTCCGCCATGACTAGTCCTAAGCAGATCATGCCTATACCAAACATCGGTAAAGGAGAACGATTGTGTTAGGTGGGCAGCCGGCATAAAATTTTGAACATCTTTTCATAAATCCTGAACCGATACGGCGGAACAGGACTCGTTTAGCCAATCCTAAACAGTTGGGATAAGGCCATGATATGAGATAGAAAAACATTGATCCTAATTTCAGGATCAATATTTGGATGAGAGTGAGTCTTCTACTGTGCCACAAGTGTGACTTGAGCCCAAGGTTCTTCTTTTTGGTACAAAATCCCAAAAGGGTATATTTTAGCCTTTTAACATAATGTGAGATACATATAAACGGAGGCATTTGTTTCTATACCTGAAGAAAAAGAAAGCTTATAGAAATAAGAAACAAATACGTCCAGGAATAAAGATGAAAAGCACCTGGCTATGGTAGAAACATGAAGAAAAATTCGAAGCAGACACATTGACAAAGAAAAACCAGCCAGGCACTTTACCGAGGTGTCTGCAGAGGTTTGATGATCATCACAACCACTAAAGGAAATGGCTTCCCCACCGTTTGTTCCTTTCCACACACCTGATCTAGGGCGATGGTCTTCCCAAATATATTGTCCGCTACTGTTAAATTTATAAGAGAGCATATGTTAACCAGTGAAATAAAGATGCCTATATTCTAATCATTTAAGAAGAAAAGAATTAAAGAAAAAGCCTCCATTTGATATCTATTTCACTGATAAGTTTAACAAACCATTTTGCATTTGAGAAACAAGAAGCTATGTTGCATGGACACAGATACGTCCGACTAAGGTACAAGGAGTCGGATTCCTTGGGAAGACTACATTTTCAAGAGACAACAAAATCTAACATTTTTCGCTACCATTCCTTTTCATTCGCAGCGAAAACAAAATAAAAAAAAAGGCTGAAATCATTCACGATTCTCAAGTTCGTATATTTTCATGGTTAAAGAAGATCATGTATAAAAAATGGTTAGAAAACAAGAAGAATCCATAAAGAACCTGTGTAGGTATGTGCATCAACAAGCGTCCGACACGGGTATGGCACAGAAACAAAAGAATCCATGTAACATAGACATCAAGCATTCTTTATTGAAGTGAGAGAGCAGATCTTGATGCTAACTAGTGCTCATGTCCACACCAACAATTCTCATTCTTCCAATGATCTTCCAATGACAAATACCAGAAAATGTCCCCTCAGAAAATGTTTTGCACTAAGCAGTAAGGATCAGAGTCCAAATAATATTGATCAGGCTTACAAATGCATCATATTAAGAAAACCCTATAGATGTCCACATACACCAAGTACAGGAATAGACTCTACCACAGCAACACCCAATGCAACCTAAGGTTTCCTAACCTAATCAAAATGATTCAAAACAGACAGAGCGTATAGAGTTTCCAATTTCAGAATGTAGGAGGAAAACACAAAGATTAGAATAGAAGAAACAAAACAAAAGATACAAAGTGCAAACTTTGGAGGCGTTCTTCTGCTCTCTCAGCAACAAGTGATGCAATGGAATTATGGTAACCAAACTTCTAAGGATCCCTAGTTACCTTTTTTTTCCCATTATAATTAGGATCCAATCCATAGTTACCCTATGGACTCAAAAGAAGATCTTGCCAATGGAGAATAACATCCAAATCCCCAAAAGAAACTAAGAAAATGAAACTTCAGCACATTTAGATGGAAGTTGTCTTACTCACTTACCTGTTCATTCTGCAGAGGAAAGGTAAGTCTAATACAGTGCCACTGTGACATGCATCTATAATTGCATGAAGTTTAACCCCACGGGGTAAAGGTCTAACCATTGTTGCATTGATTTCATCATCAACGATCATGCCTTGAGTTTCGAAGTCCAAAGGGCAGAGGGTTTCATCATAGCCATCAACCTCATCTCCACTGTAATTCCTTTGTTGTGAACCATGGCCAGAGTAATGGAATACTAAGGAGTCCCCTGGTTGACAACCTTGTACAAGCCAATACATCGCCATCCGTATATTTTGCTTTGTGGGTATCTTGTAAGGATCTCTTTCATCTTCTGCAGATCAACTTTCGGAAAAAGATACAGTTATAACAAGCATTACTAGAATTAAAGAAAGAAAACTATTCATTATCACATAGGATATCTTCCCATAAAAATGTATGACTTCTTACATAATCCCATCCGACAAAACAAGCCACAAATCTCACTGCAGGTCTTCTTAATTCCAGTATAACCCCCTCTAATATATGATAAAAGAAAGGAAAATTTTTACACTAATCAGCAACTACCGACAGATATCGTTTGGAAATGCATAGAACGCTACAGCGAGTAGACTTAATATGTGAAATCATCAATGATATTTGCAATACATACTTCCTCATGGGATCTATCCCAGAGAACCTTCAATAACGGACTGTGTTGGCTTAAACCTGTAATGGACATAACTAAGCAAGTCAGGCTAGATTTCTTGAGCAGTGTCTCAAGTTCCAACAAAAGAATTATAATAGAGACACTCCAGTATCTTTCAGTGAAAAATAGTTAGAACCTCTAACCAGCTGCATGCACCAAAGGCAAGGCACAAACAAGGTGATACAAGGTGGTGTGGCCTAGAAATGCTTGGCATTCGTTTTCCATGATTTTTTTTCCCACACACACTCATATCTATCATATCTATCAGTCTATAAATTAAAATACACACATATGCGATGGTTGATACTGATGGTATACCATAATATTACCGCATACAATATGTCAATATGTATATTAACACACATGAACGCTCTACAAAGGTAAATACATCTGTGTTGAAATACTCTGGAGAGGTCCCTGCATGAAAGGTGAGCCTCAAATCCAAACTTAAGGATGTGATCAGCAAGAGGCAAGCATAAGGGCGGTAGCACTTGTTGCAGATCAAGGGTCAAAAGTTAAAAACCTTCCATGTACCTTTTTTTGCCACATTAGTAGGGTTTGTGCCTGAACTCACCCATTGTATATATTGGCATGAAAATTTACAGCAGGATGGGAGTTAGTCCTTGTGTGATATGATATTTACAATGGGCCTCATTATAAGTTTCTCTTTACCAATCTATGCGTGTAATGAACTCACTACATTTGCTCTATCTCTCCCAAGGTCAATTGGGAGTTTGCATTCCCCACCTTTTCAAATATGACTTTTTCTGATGTATTCCTTGGGGGTTTTACTTTTTTCTTTCAGGATGCTATTTTGAATTTTCCATCTCATCTCCCTTTAATATACCTGCCTATAGATTTCTATCCTTTGGAAGGTGTTGGTTTTATGACCATTATAAAAGAAAGACTAGCAAATCTTCCTATTTAGTGCATGTTGCTTTGTAGGACCGCATAAGTAGTGACTGGTGAGCAATCAACTTGATAAACTTCGGACAGACTTCCTTTGGAAGGAAGGGACCTCAGGGATCATGTACCATACCATCCAATAGATGGAGGTACAACATCCAAAGTGTCAAGTTGGTCTTGGTATTCAGCAATTGAAAAGACATGTGGTCTTGATGTTCAAGAAGTCAATCTGATGAACAAGATTTCACTGTCCAAATTGATTTGCTGGCTAATTACGAAAATGAAAGCTTTACGTACAAGTTGGCAAGTGAGAGAAGAAGCAATGTTTCAGGGTCCAAGAAGTCAATTAGAAGCATGATAACAGATGTTAGGAGTGATCCATAGGTAACTGTTGGAAATTGTGGTAGATGCCGATTTTAGATAAACAAGTGGTGAGGGAAGATTGATCTAAAAAAAGAAAAAAGTGGTGAAGGGAGACTTTAAGAACCTACTTTCTAAGAACTTAGGGGGTGAGACATCTAAAGTTTAAAGTGGAGAAGCACTATTCTGAACGAATTCACAGGACAAGCCGCTAGATGCTGTCTCCTTAGGAAGTATATTCAGGTTGAAGAATTGGTGAAATGAATGGTGATTATTGTACACTTATGGGGTTTATATGAGGAGAACAGGCACAATAGAATAGTGTGTGAACTGGAGGTATCATGGGCTTTATCTGTTAAATATATGATAGTAGAATCACAGAATTAATCTCAACCAACGGTTTGGAGGGCATAACCTAGCTGCTTGAGGTTGGGATGGGAAGATCAAAAAAAAAAAAAAACGAAAATAAAAAGAGAAAGGCAAAAAAAAAAGGAACCCAAACTCACAATTTTTTTAACATGAAAGCCACTTTTGTAGAAGCATGATTGTCAATATATTTTCAAATATGTATCATCAAGGAATGCATGGGTGCTGTCTGCCAAGCAAAAGTATGTCTTTTCTTTGATGAAAAAGTCAGGCTTCTCGGATGACTCATTTCCCACCTATTTTTCTATACATTCAACATGTAACTCCAGTAACAGTCCTCCACATTGCCCTGATATTTAAATTATGCCCCAAGTTGGCATAAGGAACCAGCTATTTTCTATGTTTTTCATTTCTCATTCAAATTCTTCCAACTTTCTGATGATCTTTTTCCCCTATTTTTCCTTACTTGCTGTTTTATCTGTGGAAAAATAGAAAAATAAACAACCACAAGTAAACTTCATTTCAACATCAAGTTGGTTTTTTATCTGTGGAAAAATAGAAAAATAAATAACCACAAGTAAACTTCAGTTCAACATCAAGTGTGTTTAGGAGTTGACATCAAACAATGCTACATCTCAAGTTCAAGTTTGGATCCTACCACTGAACTATATCCTAACAGCCCACCCCCAAAAAACCAAAAAATAGAAAATAAACAAACAGCAAGCATCGCGAATCAAGATATTCAATCATTTCATCAAACCATATATGCAATATTCCCCCAATTTCTAGCATGAAGGATTCTCCAAAACCCAAAATCCAGAAAGATCAAAAAAAACAAAACAAAACAAAATTGAAGTGTCCAACCCAGAGAAAAGAAAGAGCTACAAAGAGACATTCTCATGAAACGTCGAACTCAGAAAGAAAAACCAAAGAGAAGAGTAAAAAGAAAGAAGCAAATGTCTGGACTGAATTAACAAAGTTGACAGAGAGGTAATGGTTGCAAAGTTTTATGTTCTCTATTGCTGCAGAAGAAGATATGATGATCCACTAAAACCCAGAGAACAAAAACCAAATCAAGAGAAAAATTGAAGTTCCATCCGAAACATAATAAAGAGAGTGTCAAAGATGAACAAATCAAACAGAGCAAAATCAAATCATATATATTTAAAGAGAGAAGAGATAGAAAAATTACCAGTAAGGTTAATGATTGAAGATTCAGGGAACTTGAATTTATTAATAAGGAGATACTTCATGCACTTTGCATCATTAATACAACCCTTAAGCTCATGTCGAGAGTATCGATACGAAATCCCGCAAATCACCGCCTTTTTGCGACCGTGAGAAGAGGGGGGAACAGGGGCGTAGTGATTAGGGGAGGGAACAACTGAAGAAGAAGAAGGCGGAGGATATGTATTGGTAGAAGGAGGAGGAGCATTTCTTGGTTCGGCTATGTGGGTGACGGCTTGGCATATCGCGCATCGAATTGACTTTGCACCCGGTGGGAGTTGCAGAGGTGTGTGGCAATTCGAGCAATTCACCAGCATATACATCTCTCTCTCTCT